GCTATCATCACATTGTTCCTTTGTGCCTATTTTTCTGGGTAGCAAGAAATAGGAATGTTTAAAAATTGTGCAATTGGCTTCTCAATTTTGTTGATTTTCTTTGGTTTGGGGTCTTTTCCTTCCCGGTTCTCTTTTCCATTGGTTGTTCGATTAAAATGGGGAAAAAAGAGAGAAAATGGTTTAAAGCCCCCACCCCCGTATCCTTCTCTCCAGAATAGTGTTGCCTTTTTTAAAAAGTGCAGAAATAAGGTTATGATACTACAATTCGTTATATCAATTATGGTTCGTGGGCTTACATTTCAAGGTGAAGTTAGACATTTGATAACATCTACTGCTTTTTTGAATGTTTTCTCTCTTTTATACAGGGAAGAATGAATACGATCTTCTTGTTGTCGGAGGTGGCTCTGGTGGACTGGCTTGTGCTAAAGAAGGTTTGTAGATGGAGTTTATGGTGTGAAACTGTCAGCCTTACCAGGTAGATCAGACGGGAAACACAACCAGATGAGCTAATTCTACTTTATTGTAAGGCTACATTAACAGAATCTTGCAAGTCTGAAAGTACAATTTTCCTCCCGTCTCCTTTACAGCCCAAGAAACCAGGGAGGGTCTCTTCTGAGCCTCTTTCTCCACCCCTTATCCAGCTGTGGGCTATGCTGCCTCTTATCTGACCGTTCCCTTGGCAGCATCTCTTCGCCCTGTCTCCCAAGGTCTTTCCCACACGCCATTACAACATTCCCAGCCTAGAGAAGGGATATCTGAATACCTATGGAAGGTGCCAAGTTGGGAAGGCTGTTTTCACTGCAAGCCACGGGGTGGAGTGAAACCTGGACACGTGCTCAAGTTTCTGTTATTATACTATGCAACAAGAAAGCCTGTTGCTGCTACTTTGAGAAACTGGCTGCAGTGCTTGTTTGCTACAAGGCAAGTAGGTGTGGTGGAAACTGTCTGCTTGCCACCTGCCTAAAGGCAAAAGTAACTTTTTTATCTGTGCACAATTCTCCCAGAACATACATACATACATACATACGTACATTTATTAATTATTAAATTTATATGCCACCCATCTCCCCCAGAGATTGACTCTGGGTGGCTTACAATTGAAAACCAAGACAATAAAAACAGTAAAAATATAAATATCCAAATAAGTTATATTTGCTACTGACCACTGGAGGCACTATAGAACTGGTTTTATTCTTGTAGGCTGAAACTGGTCCTATAGTGCCTCCTAGTGGTCCATAGCCAATATAGCAACTTACAAGAAAAATGTGATAAACTTCCCTTAGGAAGGGAGTTCTTGAGACATCTGGTATAAGGCCCAGATATAACGCTTATCTAAAGCATCAACCTTCTTTGGACCAGTTTGGGGAGCATCACCATGACCATACCCTTTTCCTTAAATGCTTCTGCAACTTTTATTTCTCTTTGTTTAAGCTGCCCAGTTTGGGAAGAAGGTAGCTGTCCTAGATTACGTGGATCCTTCTCCAAGAGGTAAGGAACAATCCAGGCGAATCGTGTAATCAGTTCTTGTTCTGACCTTGAGTATCATCCAAACTTAGTTTGATCCTTCTGTTGGATGTTGTGGATGAAATGAAAAGCTTTCCTTTTGATGGAGTCCTTCTGACTAAAACAGTGCTCACGGTAGATAGACGGTGTGGTTCTTTCATCCTTCAGACTTCATTGCTAAGGAGTTACTCATCTTGTGTGTCATTGCTCTGCTGATTTAAAGGACTGATCATTCTCAAAGTTCATCAATGCAGCCGATATGGGTGGGATCTGAGAACAAGTGGCCCAGCGCTTGAGAAGAAGCTCAACCAAGGAATGAGGGTGTGGCCTTTTCTCTTCTTCCAGGAACCAAATGGGGGCTTGGTGGGACGTGCGTGAACGTGGGTTGCATTCCTAAGAAGTTGATGCACCAAGCAGCCCTCCTGGGAAATTCGATCAGAGATGCCCAACGGTATGGCTGGAACGTACCCCAGCGTGTCAATCACGACTGGTAAGATCAATCTCTTACCTGGGCTTTGCATCCTACCTGTGTGTAAAACCACTCCAAAAAAACCCCCCACTGCAGCTCATTTGGAACTATTAAAACTAGGAACATTTGTTTTAGAAGAGGAAGGCTGAAGGACTTGGATTGTCTATGGATCCATCCATGCTATTGTATGTATCTAAAAGGAAGATGCCCCCAGTTTCTCCCTCATGTTCTAGATGGACCAGTGGTCCAGCTGTAGCAAGGCACATTGAATAAGCCTGCACTTCTGACACTGGTTGTTCTTATATTCAGTGTTTCTCAACCTCAACAACTTTAAGATGGGTGGCCTTCAACTC